AGCCATGATCTTACTGCATGGTGGAGCATTTTCAAGAGACCAAAAGGAGTTAAGTGCCTAATTGCTACTTATAGCTGGGTTTAATTGCTGTCTGAGACTTTTGAGAAAGACAACACTAATGACACCCAATCATTCTCTTTGCCATTAATGATTAGAGGTCTTCCGTAAGAATTAATTTGGATGTTGGGTCATGCTTGAGGTCGATTTGAATCTTGGGTACAGTTGCTTACAAGGTATTTCTTATAAATTTTCTGGGCTGACGAAGCACAGAATTTAGATTTAGATTTGGAAAGCAAATATTTCACTAGCTTATGTTGAGTTTATCTGGGCTCTTTACATTTTTAACGTCCATTGATTAATGGGAAAATCACATTAATATGAACACATCTGCTATAAACAGTGAAGGCTGCATAATGACAGACTGGAAATGACAATAAAGTGCTGTGGGCATTATAAGGAAGCATCGCAAAATTTCCTCCTTTGGTTCTTTATCATGCATTTTATTTCTTCCATTTTCTCTCTTTTTTGCTCTCCAAGCTATATTTTCATTGAAGGCACTGATTTCTCAATGCAACACAACTTTACTATCGTTTGCCATTAGTAGGTGCCTCATCCTAGCACCATTGTTAATGTCTCAGTGCAGATAGTGAGCATTACTGTGAACTAATCCTGTCCTCACTTGGTTTCCTCGGGCACACAATAAATTAATTGCAACAAGTGCAGATAACAGATTTTCATTTTCTTAAATGTGGAACAATGAACAGCTAAAGCTGAATTTATCTTATGGGATCTGAGATTTAATCAGCCCAATTTAGCTATTAAGCTGACTCTTCAGATTGATAACATTAGGAACTTCCTGACCGTTTATTTGTTTCAGAGAGTTCTGTTTGGAGATAGCCTGGATACTTTGCGATTCAATTCAATTGAGTGATAACATGTAAACTAGAACTATTCACGGACATACAAACATGCACTTCTTTTTATTTAGCTTTACTCAACTCTTGCAAGGTTTTTTTCCTTCTCTCTCCTCCTTTGATGCTTGTTGCAACTCTTCCCTGCTTCATCTAACTCTTCCCTTGTTTAAAAGGTTCACTATATCCGTATATTTAATTTCCTCACGGTCATCAAAACTTTCACATTTCCTATTAAATTATATGTAAATTTAAAAAGTCAATCATTAAGCAAGAAGTCATTTAAAAAAAAAGTTGTTCTGAATCAACAATCTTCCAGGTCGTCCTTTTAGAAGGTTAGTTCATAAATAGGTTTTGAACGTTTCTACATGTAATTCTGCAGCTCGCTCAGCTGTGTTTTTACTCACTACACCAAAAGGTTGAACAGAGCATTGATTTTTCTGGTCGTCTGCTTGGCTGTGGGTTTAAATCACAAACTACTAAATTTGTAATGTTTGAAAGTGGAGTCACAGGTAGATAGGATAGTAAAGAAGGCATTCTGTATGCTTGCCTTTATTGGACAGTGCACTGAGTATAGGAATTGGGAGGTCACGTTGCGACTGTACAGGACATTGGTTAGGCCACTTCTGGAATATTGTGTGCAATTCTGGTTACCCTGCTATAGGAAGGATGTTGTGAAACTTGAAAGGGTCCAGAAAACATTTACAAGGATGTTGCCAAGGTTGGAGGGTTTGAGCTATAGGGAGAGGCTGAATAGGCTGGGGCTATTTTCCCTGGAGTTTTGAAGGCTGAGGGGTGACCTTATAGAGGTTTATAAAATCACGAGAGGCATGGAAAAGGTAAATAGACAGGTCTTTTCCTTATGATGGGGGAGTCAAAAACTACAGGGCATAGGTTTAAGATGAGAAGGGAAAGATTTAAAAGGGACCTAAGGGGCAACTTTTTCACACAGAGTGTGGTGCGTGTATGGAATGAGCTGCCAGAGGAAGTGGTGGAGGCTGGTACAATTACAACATTTAAAAGGCATCTGGATGGATAAATTAATAGGAAGGGTTTAGAGAGAGTTGGATAAAATACTGACAAATGGGGCTAGATTTATATAGGATATCTGGTCGGCATGCACGTGTTGGACCGAAGGGTCTGTTTCCATGCTGTGCACCTCTATGACTCTAACCTATGGCAACTTGGATCCAAGTTCCTTCATATTCACTTACAAATGTTTTAAGAATTGAAAGTGGAATATTTTGTGACTGGCAGACAGGAAAGTGAATTAATTACTTGCTTTTCCAGCTGTTACTATATTGTAATCTCAAATGATTTTCATCCTGCCAAGACAAATATTGATTGTGAAGAACTTACAATCTTCTTCAAATATGTACTGGAAAAAAAAACACTTTGTAAATATATTGCCAATTTCTAAGCAAATATGTTCAACTTTTCATATTCCAAACGTTCATATAACCTGTTATTACCAGATCCAATTTTTCAAAACCTATGCTGCTTGATTGGTTTCTGTGCCTTTGGCCCCATATATGTTTCTTCTCATGTTACTTCTTTCACCAGTGAACAGTTCAGGCATAATCGCTCTCCCAGACTTCTGACCAAGTTCAGGATTTGCTGACCACTTACGACAGCAAGCAACAAATAAACTTCCTCCTTATTGCGAAAGACAAGAGTGGGAGAGTTTCTACTCAATTAGTACCCAAAAACAGGTGATTTGAAGGTAAGCAGAGAGAATAGCGAAGGAAGACCTCCTGCTGAATCGCTGCCTCTTTAATCAGTGCTTCAAACAGTGACAGGATTAGGATTTCAACTATATTTCCTCCATTCATGGTGCTGATGGAGGGACGAACAATAAAGGGAGGGCATTTTGAACCTTGACTGGCAGAGAGAGCATGGATTATTATAGCTCTGAGATAGGAGAGCTGGGAAATCTTCTTTGTCTGAGTCCTTACCTCATCCGTTGCCTGGCGACAAGGTTCTTTCAGTGCTTAATTAAAAACTCCTGCAATTCATTTATTGGGAGGCTCTGTCCTACATCAGATACTGCTGAGTGGACATTGCAATACTGCACCACAGAACTAATGGACTGCCAATGGAGAATGCCAATATCTCAGGAATTCTTCTCGGTATACCCAGGAAATGGATCAATGTCACAGCAGGGTCAGACCTGGGGGCAGAACTCCCACTAACCCCAACTTATTTCAGGCAGCATTCCAATATCAAGGAAAATATTTCACCCTCACACAACCTCTGCCACCATCTTACAATAAGACCAATGTTAATAAAGTTAACCGCCATATGATAAATCAGGAATGAGTATGATGATCAATTAAAATCAATAGATATTCTTGAATTAAGCACAAGATTATTCTTTTAAGGCAGAAAATTTCATGGTAAAGCCATCACTAAATTCACCACAATGAGCAATGAAGCCAACAATGGCTTTTTGATCCCCTTCAAATTGGAAGCACTATCTTTTTTACGAGTTAGAAGAAAAGTGAGTGAATTTGTTCTTACTGGCTCTGATGATTTAGAAGAAGGTAATAAGATAGACAATATGCAGATAATCTGGAAAATTGCCCCTAGGAACAAGCCATAACGCAGGACGTTGTCAAAAAAGGTCGGTTCTGGTATTTCTGGAGGAGACAGATCGAATTCTGTAGCCATTCTTCTGCTGTACTTCTGTTTGTCTTTCTGGACGCCCTTCACAAACGCTTCTAATGCAGTTTTATTTTGCCAAGCTATGTATCTAAGGGGGAAAAGTCAGAATACAGAGAGGCACATGATCAGTGTGTAATCTAACAACATTTATAGAATTCATTGCCAGTTTTCACTTAAAATTCACTGCATCAATATATACTGATTTCATTTGATGTATATGTCTTCCATTAGCGATCCCTGGGCCCTAACGACATTCAGTCAACTGTTGTCTGCCTGTTGCCAGATTTCACTTCTTCCAATGAATAGCTCATGATTTTTTGTTTTTGCATTTCAATAAAAGGAACACATTTTCTGTAAATCCTTGACTTACTGCTAAATGTCAGAGCAGGAACTTTTAGGAATCCATAAATACTTACACACAGAGTCATACAACAGGAAACAGACCCTTTGGTCCAACTCGTCTGCTCTGATCAGACATCCTTATACGACCTAATCCCATTTGCCAGCATTTGGCCCATATCCCTCTAAACCCTTCCTATTCATATACCCATCCAGATGCCTTTTAAGTCTTGTAATTGTATCTGTCTCCACCACTTCCTCTGGCAGCTCCATACATACAACATTGTCTGCTTGAAAAAGTTACCCCTCAGGTCCTTTTTAAATCTTTCCCCTCTCACCTTAAACCTATGCCCTCTAGTTTTGGACTCCCCCCCAACCCATCTGAGGAAAAACTATTGGTTATTCACCCTATTCATGCCCCTCATGATTTTATTAACCTCTATAAGATCACCCCTCAGCCTCTGACGTCCCAGGGGAAAAAAGCCCCGGCCTACTCAACCTCTCCCTATAACTCAAAAACCCTCCTGTCCCAGCAACATCCTTGTAAATCTTTTCTGCAGCCTCTCAATTTTGACATCATCCTTGCTATATAAGTACGAATAGAATTGTACACTCTATTCTATAAGTGATCTCACCAATGTCCTGTATAGCTGCAACATGACATTCCAACTTCTACACGCTATGTTCTGACCAATGAAGGCAAGCATGCCAAATGCCTTCTTCAACACCCTGTCTATCTGTGAATTAACTTTCAAGGAACTATGCACCTGTACCCCTGGATCTCTTTGTTTATTAACACTCCACAGAGCCCTACCACTAACTGTATAAGTCCTGTCCTGATTTGCCTTACCAAAACGCAACACCTCACATTTATGTAAATTAAATTCCATCTGCCACCTTGCGGCCCATTGGTCCATCTAATCAAACTCCTGTTGCATTCTGAGATAATTTTTTTCACTGTCTATTACACCACCTATTTTGGTGACTTCTGCAAGCTTACTAACCATACCTCTTATATAAATGATTTGGATGTGAACATAGGTAACAAAGAGCAGTGGACCCAGCACTGACTCCTGTGGCACACCGCTGTCACAGGCCTCCAGTCCGAAAAGCAACCCTTTACCACCACCCTCTGTCTCCTACCTTCAGCCAATTTTGTATCCAATTGGCTAGCTCCCTGGATCCCATTTGATCTAACACTACTGATCGTCCTACCAAACAGAACCTTGTTGAATGCTTTGCTGAAGTCCATACAGACAATGTCTACCACTCTGCCTTCATCACATCCCTCAAGGGTACATTATTCCTTACAAAAGTAAAGTTTGAAAAGCAGCATTCATTTTAAGATTTCTATCTTGTCTCCTTTTATGAACAAATTTGCAACTTAGCTGTCCAAATGGATTTAAAAAAGGTATTGGTTGCAAAAATCCATGTTTACAATCAGCATTCCTAATGGAAGACACACCAATTCAGCAATATGTGTTCAGCAGAATCATTAACCCTGTTTATTCAGATATCTGAAACAGCAGTAAATGGTTAATTTGATTCACAAAGATAATGCCATTTGTTTCTGAACACCAGAAATACTTCATTCATTTGCAAATTGAGGAAACCAGTGATGTAGTAGTAACACTACTGAACTAGTAATCTGGAAACATAGGCTAATGTTTTTGGGACATTGGTCCGAAACTCATCATGGCAAATGGTGAAGTTTAAATTAAAAGAAAAACTGGAATAAGACGGTAGCCTAATGTCCTTTGTGTCTTTCCAGAAGAAAATCTGCCATCCTTACCTGGTCTGATTGACATGAGACCTCAGACTCACAGCAATGTGGTTAACTCTGAACTGCTCTTTGGGTAATTAAAGTTGGGCAATAAGTACTGACACCCACATCCCATGAACTTTTTAAACATTCAGTTGTTAGAAGCAATATAAATTTCTCAGTAACCGACACGAGGAAATTGAATGACAAAATTTCACATCTTAGGACTTCTACTATGAAAAATAAATTAAAGTCAACATCAACTAAACAATTCTTAACAGGCAACCAGTACACTAAACAACAAAAAAGATATTGTCCCCATTAACTAACACAACAGAACATTTATACATTGCACTCTCAGAAGAAATGTAGTCTTTTGTATAAAGTTCCAAGCTCCTTCCAATTTTAACAGTATCTTCTCACCCAGAGTGAATCTTCCAGGGTCTTTTTAATTAAAATCCCTTCATGCAACTTCTCAGCATAATCAAATGGTCTTTCAGTTGTAAGTCATTGGCAACTCTCAGTTTTTTTTAATCTTCAAAGAGATTATATCCTCAGCAAAACACAGCATGGTAGATAACCCAAAAAAAAGTCCTTCCTCCAGCTTGCAGCACCAGATATGGGTGAGTCTTCTTTCCAGATCTCTCTGGTTGATTGACTCAGAGATGACTGACTCCCTTTGGTCATCAGTGCAATGAGTAGATGTGCTCTGTAGGCACTAGAATGGAGTGTCATTGAAGCTCTATGGTCAGCTTGTTTTAAACTAATGTATAACAGCTGTATGAACTTGGATATAGAAATAATGACCTGTCACCATATGATATAATGTTTTTCCTTTCTCTGCAGATGTACATTTCTTTACTTTGTGTTTCATTTTTTAGATTTACTTTCCAAGCAAGCTATGCATTGCTTCCTTGCTGGGATGCAGGTGTGGAATATTCAGTTTTAATAACCTTGTAAAGAATCTTGCACCAGTGTTACTTTGAGCCCCAACTACATGGTAGCATATCAATGAACTCAGGAGTCTCATTTGAAATTATGAGGAAAGTGCTACACCACAGAGCTCACACTGTGATAATCAAAACCAGCATATGAGAAGGATAATTTCTGGACTAGAGTCATAGAATCATAGAGTTGTACAGCACAGAAACTCTTTGATCTAACTCATATGTGCCAACCAGATATCCTAAATTAATCTAGTCACATTTGCCAGCATTTGACCCATATCTCTCTAAACCCTTCCTATTTATATGTCCATCCAGATGCCATTTTAAAGTTGTAATTGTACCAGGTTCCACCACTTCCTCTGGTAGCTCATTCCATACACATATCACCCTCTGTATGAAAAAGTGCCTCTTTAATATCGTTCCTCTCACCCCATAAACCTCTGCCCTTTGGTTTTGGACTCTACTGCCCTGGGAAAAAGACCTTAGCTATTCACCTTATCCATGCCTCTCATGATTTTATAAACCTCTAAAAGATCATCCCTCATCCTCCGAAGTTCCAAGGAAATTAGCCCAGCTTGTTCAGCCTCTTCCTATAGCTTAAACCCTCCAACCCCTGCAACATCCATATAAATCTTTTTTGAACCCTTTTAAGTTTAGCAACATCTTTCCTAGAGCAGGGAGACAAGAACTGAATGCAGTATTCCAAAACTGTGTTCAGCCTCAACATGACATCCCAACACCTGTACTCAATTTACTGACCAATAAAGGCAAGCTTACCAAATGCCTTCTTCACTACCATACCTGCAACTCCACCTTCAGGAAACTATGAACCTGCACCCCTGGGGTTTCTTTATGCGGCCACACTCCCTAGGTCCCTACCATTAAGTGTATAAGCCTTGCCCCAATCTACCTTTCCAAAATGCAACAGGTCACATTCATCTAAATTAAGTTCCATCTGCCACTCCTGCAGAACAGTCTAGTTGCGCTTGTAAAATTAAACATTTCCCTGCACATCATATCAGTCTTGCTAGCGAACAGATATTTTCTAATCAACCTGTTCAGAGTTGTTATTACACATATCTGGCGCAAGTGATACTTGAACCCATGTCTCCTGGCCCAGACGAAGGGACACTACAACTGTGCTACATTTGTACCCTTGCTGGCCATAGAAGGGGCAATCATTTCACCCAGCTGGGGAATGTTTAAGCAATTAAAAGTGTGCATTTTAATTAATTGAAAACTAACTTACATTTTGACTTCCAGAAATTGGAAGTACAATTATTATAAAGTGCTCATCACATCTCAAGTCATTTATTGTGTAACTAAATCCAAATACTGCTGTATAAATGACACCAATTACAATCCTCTCATTTTTGACGGCAGTAGATAAGCCGAATAAGTCACTTGTAGCAGGAGTTCAATATGAATTTTTCCTCCGAGAAATCTTTCAGATTCACAACTTTGATACAAAATTAATGAGTGATTGATGCTGTACTTTTTAGATGTTTCGATCAAATTGTACTTTAGGGAACTATGGTTGTTCAGGAGCTGAGCACCAGCAGATGAGCAGGTTTGCTTGCCAAGACACTGTGCAAGCTGGAAAGCAATAGAAAGTTCAAATTGACAATAGTGAATTATTTGTATTCCTTTCACGACATAACCTGCATGACACTGCTTTTCATTTGTAAGTTGGGATTACTTGCAAGTCTACAGACCAATGAACATAATAACAAAAGAGCAGGATGAACAGTTCCCATCCAAGTGTCGCACCATCTCTCTTAATACATCAATAATCTGAAGTGACATAGAAAGAAGAACATTGTGTATCAAAAGTGGAACCAAGTGATAATAAAAAAAAATGGCTAGATAAAATGTGCTAGAAAGAGAGAAATCCAGTAGTGAATGGGGCAACGATATTTAATGTACCCTCAGTAAGTTGAAAATTGATTTGGAGAAAATGGAAAGATTTACCAAACAAGTATCAAGCCCACCGATTCCCACAGCTACCTAGAATACACTTCCTCCCCCCAACCTTCCTGC